TAAACAATTACAATATATATTTTTGAAAGCATTCTTACTTTACAGCATTTTTTTCATACCTGCCTAAAACTTTTGCACAGTATTATATTTTAGGCAGATAATTGAAAAAAGACATCACTCTAAAAATCTATTATTCTCCAGTGACATTATTCCAGTAATTTACTATAATGTTATTCTATCATATAACATTTGGAATAGACTAAACTGTGGTAAAGTATATGAACAGGGAGTGTGGTGGTACTATATATTCTGGACTAAAAGTGCTTAATATATCATATTTTTAGAGAGGGAGTATTATTTGAAAGTTTCCTCCAGCAGCCTCTCTATTAAATGTGAATGAATGTCAAAGAATGGCAGACCATCCACTTCCATTGCCAAACTTGCAGTTTTTCCACTGCGAACGTGATGTCGCTGTAGTATCTTCAACATGTTTTCTTCCTAGATAATAAAATAGACAATATTGTATAAACAGTACAAACATTTTGTTCCCTTTAAAAGTTAGGTTTTTATTTTAATTCCCCAGTTGGAAATCCCTGTCAAAAAAAAGGGCCATTAAATAAATAGATGAAAGTCAGGAATTCAGTTTAATATTTACTCCTTAAGTTCACAGTAAGAGTCATCTTGTTAGGGAGATTTTAATTCCTGTTTTCTTCTAGAGTTGTTCTCATTAACTATAAAATCTTGTCACTCAAATGTTAAAATGCATTTTTCACTATCTAATTACTGTAACTTGGAAATGTAAGAAGGGAATCCATTTGTATGAAATTGCTTTCAGTGTCTTCATTAGAAGTTATTATGTTGGAAGAACTTCCATGCTAATGTTGTTTACAGTGCTGAAATTTGGCAAAATAATTTCAGTTTACAAAATAATCTATAATTACTGATGCTCTGCTTTCATAGTAATGTGGTAAAACGAAGGATTGAATTGAGGAGTAAGTTGTACAATCTGTCTGAAGTCAAAGTGTGGTAGAGAGGGATAAAAAGGATGAAGCAGTGAAGGTAAGTCCACCAAGGTCAGAAAGATGGACCAATGAACAGATGGGGTATTGAGAAGGAAAGACATGGAAAGCAAATGGAAAGAGAAATGCCATCTGGAAATACAACATCATTAACACTATGATTCACAGTCATCTTGATGAATGAGAATCTAAGTTCCAGATCTGTATTCTGCAACACATATTAATCTTAATATCATTCGTCAGTTTCCCACATGTTAGTTTTGATGAATAAATGAATCTATATCAACAGTCTAGAGACCTACAGGTAGTCCTTGCTTACCGACATTTATTCAGTGATCATTCAAAGCTATGATAGCACTAAAAAAAAGACTTATGACCAGTCCTTGAAGTTCTAGCCATCATAGCACCCCATGGTGACATGATTGCTATCTGGGTGCTTGGCAACTGGCTTGCACTTGTGACGGTTGCAGTGTCCTATGGTCACATGATCACCATTTGCGACTTTCCCTGCCTGCTTCCCACAAGCAAAGTCAATGGGGAAGCCAGCAGAGAAGGTCGCAAGTTGCTCCAGTAAGTTACTCTCATCCTCCCGTCTGTCAGCAGCAACCCCTGGCCCTGCCATGCCTTACTTACCTGCGAGCTGCCTGAGACTAGCTTAATGACCCACAATCCTTAATGACGGCAACGGGAATGCCAGGATTGCTGTCGCTAAGTGATGCAGTCACGTGATGTTGTGCTTTACGACTTATTGCTTAGTGATGGAAATTCTGTTCCCAATTGCCATTGTTAACTGAGGACTACCTGTACTTTACAATAAGACCATGAAAAACTTGCATGAATTCAAAATTGCATTATACTGCCCCAATCTAGTCCTAGTTCTGCATAAATAATGGCATAAAATTGTTAATGACCCTGCTGAGAGTGAGCACTTTCACCTGCATTTACTTTACTATTGTAAGTTTGAGGGGTTATCAAAGAGATGACTAACAGGCTAGATATGACCAAGCACATTTGTTAGTTTAGAAAAGTTTTTAAAAAGAATCATCATGGCAGCTAAATAGTTAGCTAAGATTTCTGGATGAAGACTTCAGTTACACACATCTATTTAATCTGTAGCCTCACTCACTTTGCTCTAGAAAACTAAATATGTGAATTCAGGGGTCATAGTTGGGTATGTAGGTATTTAACAGAGGCAACTCTATTTCAATAGCTACCCAGCAATCATCCAGTGTTGGTAATCTCTACATATTGCTTCCAATCAAACCATATAGGAAACATTTATTATCCCATGAAAAACTTCTTCCAAAATGGTACCTTAGCCACAGAAGGTAATGCCGATGCCCAGTTCTTATACTTGGAAAACCTGGGAAATCCAACAGCTCTCCTCAGATAGCGGTCATGTATTTCACATGTATTGAGGATATAAAGCCCACAAGCTATAGCATAGCCTCCCCAGTTGGAAACCCCTGTCAAAAAAAAGTGCCATTAAACAAAACACTTGAGCTAAAATAGCTGCATGATATTAATAATAAATATGTCGTTTACAAAGGACAGATCTATAACTGAAATTCAGCACCATTAATATTTGGACAACAGGAGGAAACATAAAAGAAGCCTTCCTCATCATTTCCAGGATCAACTGAATCCTGTTTAAACACAGTAATGTGCTTTGGTTTATTTGTTCAGGGAGTAATAGGTTAATTTATGCCTTTGATAGCAATAGTGTAATTTGTTCCTGACCTTCTAAAGCTTGGTTTAGATGATTCTCAAAACATGGTTTAGCACCAACTTGGGGGGCTCCAGATATTTTTGATTTTGCTTAGCACTAGTTCTATCCAGCATGAACAATGGTCAGGGTATGGAATTTTATTACTTAATTTATTTAAATAATTTATATGGGCACCCTTCTCAGTCTAGTGATTCTGGGTGGCTAACAATATATAAAAAATAAAATAACGTAATACAGGTAGTCCTCGGGTTATGACAGCAATTGGGACTGGGATTGCCATTGCTAAGTGATGCGTCACATGACCACACTGCTTAGCAACTGCAATCCTGGGCAGTCCCTGTTGCTGTCATAACCCCAAGATGCGTGAGTCATTAAGTGGGAAGAGGCCAGAGTCCCAAGCAAGGAGCACAGGGGTGCTGCGGAGTGGTGGCAGTAGGGGAGTCTGGGGAAGGGCTTGGGAAGGCTGGCAAAGGCTGCGCATGAGTCAGGGAAGGCTGGGGGAGGGCTGGCAGAGGCTGCCCTTGGGAGGGGGATGCTGCATGTGGGAGAAAAAGCAGGATCACTTACTGGAGCGACCTGTGACCTTCCCCTACTGGCTTCCCTATTGACTTTGCTGGTGGGAAGCTGGAGGGAAGATTGCAAATGGTGATCATATGACTGCAGCTCCCTGTGACATCGTAATTATGAGCCAGGCACCCAAGAGCCTGGATTGCGATCACATGACCACAGGGCTGCTGCAATGGCTGGAACTTCGAGGACTGGTCATACATCCATTCTTTCAGCGCTGCTGTAACTTTGAATGGTCACTGAACAAGTGGATGTAAGCTAAGGACTATCTGTATAAGTAAACAACAATATAGTACAACTGAGGCTGCTAATAAACCATCTCATATTTATCACAATACATATCAGGCTCCACTAACATCCCGGCCCCAATGTCTGAGGGAAAGGTCAGGTCTTCAGGACTTCCACAAAGCTAACAGAGTTGGGTCCATCTGAAACTTGGGGGGATGCTGTTCCTACTAGACATAGTTTCACAGAAAAGACCCAGAGCATGCCCACCCTGCTGGAACTGGTGGAATGAGTAGAGACAATGAAGACAGGTGATCGCACAAATAGCATGTCTCTGTGCCACCCAGGGCTTTATAGGTGACAACCAGTACCCCGAATTGCCTACAGAAACCTACTGGGAGCCAGTGCAGCTCACAAAGCAGAGGCATTAAATAAGTGTACTGTGGTGTGCTCACAACTGTGCACACCACTGCATTCTGGACCAGATGCAGCTTCCAAATGCACTTTAAGGACAGCCCCATGTGTAGTTCATTGCCACAATCTTGCTGGGAGGTAACTAAGACATGAGTGACCACAGCATCCCAATGCAGGAATGGATGCAATTGGCATACGAGATGGATTTGTGCAAAGGTCCTCCTTGCCACGGTTGCTACCTATTCCTCAAACAGGAGCCATGAACCCAAGAGGAGCCCCAAACTGTGTACCAGCGCTGTTTGGAGGAGTGCTATCCCATCCAGGGTAAAAGATGGATAATCTCCAGGGTCCCTAAGACCCAGAGTCATTCAATCTTGCTAGAGATAAATTAAAGACTATCCTTCCCCATCCAGACCTCCACAGCCTACAGGTGCTGGTAAAGAACCTTAATGGCATCACTTGGATAGCCCAGGGCTCTGAGTGTCCTCAGCATACTTCTGATAATTAACCCTACAAACTGTGTCTCCCCACTTCCAACCTCTTAAACCGGTCCAGAAGGATACCATGATCAATGGTATTGAAGGTGGCTGAAAGATCATGGAAGGCCAGGATAGGTGTATCATCCCCATTTTAAGCCTGCCAGAGGTCATCAGCAAGTGTGATCAGTGCCATCTCAGTACTGATCTGAAATTTGCCTGAAAAGAGTCTAGATAAACTGCTTCTTCCAGCATAGGAAGCCTTCCATCTTCTCAACAACCTTCTCTAAGGAGGGAAGGTTAGAAACTGGATGAAAATTGTCTTGTGGAGGGCAAACCACTGCATCCTTCAAAAGAGGTGGAACCATTCCCTCCTTCAAAGGAGCATTCACGTTAAACATCAATGGGAAGCCCAGATTGAGTTGGGCTCAATCTGGATAAGAAAGCAGTGCAGGCCATCTTTTCCTGCCTAAAGGACAGCCACGTACTTATATAAAAGAACATTTAAGTTTTATATTTCTATAATAGTGGCACAGAAATTTGTGGAAGCGAGACTTTTCTGTTGCAGTATTTGTGGTTTGAAATACTATTCTGTAGAGAACTGTGGGAACAGATTGGCCCTGACTCTGCCAGTCTTTTGCAAGGTCTTGAAGACGTGGTTGTGTTCCAAGGCATAGAGGTGCTGGAGCCCATGAGGTGGTATTTTAATTCTTGTTTGATTGGTTTTTACCTTAGCTGCCAGTTATGTATTTTATTTTGCTATTGTTCTGTTTTTAACTGCTGCTTGCTGTCCAGAGTCACCATGATGGGATGGCAGGTAGCAAAGCTGATGAACAGCTTGTTGTATGGAAGAGGATCTAGGTGAGGACTGAATAGAATAATCAGAAAAGGAAATGCAGCTCTTTTTGGTTCCTTCCTATGATTTTGCACATACACATATTTTGGCTTGTTCAAGACTTACCTGCAATAACTGCAAAATCAGCTTCCACGTCACAAGCTATAACATCACCATTTTTAATGTGCTTCTTTACAGCTTCTTTTACTTTTCCCATTCCTAATTCATTTCCTCCATCCCCAATACCTAAATTAAAATGGAAGAATGTACAGTGAAATATTACAATACTAGATTTAATTTTTGATACCGGTGATTCCTCTAGAAAATCTGATAAGAAATTAAGAACAAGTGAGGTTGTTAATATTATGTACTGTAAGTAAACCTTTTATTTACAGAACTGTCACAAGTCTACTGTGACCACCTCCCATGAAAACTGCACTCTGGGTAACCACTGAAATGTCTCAGCTTTATTGATCATGCATATTAATATTTGTATTTGCTTTCAAAGCAACAAGGAAAGATAGTTAAATAAAACTTCCTATTGGGGAATTTAGACTTCTCTCATTTCTTTATCAATTTTGCCAGGATGACAAAATAATCAAAATCTTAAGCGTGATGGGAAACTTGGATTGTTGGCTGAACTGCTGACTTATTAATATCAGCATTTGTGCATGCTTATCTGTCTGCAGGTTTATGTAAAACACCTATAATATCAGTATAGTTGGGGCAGACTAGCAGTTGGCATATACCATTATAGCCTTGCCCAAATGTAACGGCCATTATCTTTAAGGATTAGAAAGGTTTTGCAATAGTTACTTCTATTCACAAAAACTAAGATGTTTTGTGGTGGCAAATATTTTGGTATTACCTTGCTTATATAGGTGTACTTTTACTCTTAAAAGTAGTATGGTTGTCTAAAAGAACAGACTTATACATGTCTATTTAGAAGCAACCTCATAGAGATCAGTGGGGCTTATTCCTAAGGTATGGAATGGTATAGGAATGCCCTCAGAATAACCCCACAAAACATTCTGCAGCTATTAAAGGCAAGTGACAGATACCTACTATTTAAGTCTTCTGAAAAGTCACAGAATATATATTCTCAAACTTAGACAGAAGCAAATGTTAATCTATGAGAGAAATTCTATTTAAAATCCTATAAAGTTACTGTTAAGGAGATCCTCCCTCCCAATATATTCTACAATATGCTGCTAATGCCATTACACTACACCTAGTTTTTAAGAAATATGGTCAAGCTCATGACAAACATGGAGCGATGCAGACATTTCATTTCACTACTAATTTAGCTTTATTGATTTTTTAATTAAAATAAAATCCAACACTTTTCTATGGAGTCCATCTGCTGAATAGTTCTTACAGGTATGTTAATTTTTATGAGGATATGTATACATACATATGTGCATCTTTGTATATATATGTGTGTGTATTTGTGTGTGTAGATGTATATACACACACATATACATATATCATAACTATGCAAAAATAATTTTTCTCCAGAGGTACCACATTTAACCTCCAAAGGAGAGAGAGTCACTTTAGGCTGACTGAAAAGAATAGAAAAGAGAGGAATAAAAGACCCATTCAACTGAAAAGCACTGTTTTTTCACTTCTTCCCCCTTTTTTTCTTGCCTTCCAGTGCAGTGATCTCTTCCGCCTGCCCCATCTCCAACCTGATTTTTAAAAATCTTTTTGTGCTGTTGTTTCTGCTGGAGTGGGGGACAGGAGTGTGTGTGTGTGTGTGTCCGTGTCTGCTTCAGTGTGAAAATGAGCTATGTATGTGAGTGATTGATAAAGATGACAAAGGATCAATTTTATAAATGGGGTATCTTGTTTTACAGACTTTAACCCATAATATTCTTTTTTTTTTTTTTTTTTGTCCTGGTCTTGACCATTTTTTGGCGTGTGGCTTCTGGCAGATATAAATACATATACATTCATGCATATATGTAACAAACACAAGTATGACATATGCACACATTTATTGGAGAGACAATATTTTCCAGGACTGGTTTCAGCTGGAATTGTCAACCCTAAATTAACAGGGTAGGAAGCTGGGTACTGCAAAAAATTATTCCGTCCAAGAGAAGACTTTGCTGTCTGTCCAAAAAGTGGTCTTAAACATGGAGTGAGGTAAGCTATTAATAAGCAATTAAGGATGCAATCCATTACAAATACACTTGAAAGTGTGGTAATAGCCAGGGATTCCTAAGTTTTATCACCTTTTGGCTATGACTCCAAACTTTAAGAATAGCTGTAAAGAGACAGGTCCTCTTGCCAATACTGAGGTAAATGTCTTAAACTAATATTCACCATCAGCCAAAATATGCAAAACGAAAATAATGGATAATGCTAGGCAATCTGATGAAGTTTCTTCCCCAACTCAGGTGGTGCACACAGACCAACAACAAGGATTTGGTCTATAAAATGTCTAGACTGTCGTAAGAAAATAGAACAATATCAGTGAGAAAATATTATCCAAATAGCATTAAAACATCAGAGAATATGCAAGTGCATTCAACCACCATAACATGCAGAAACAAAGCAACGTAGGAAAATCATGCAGAACATGGCTTTTGGAATTCTTTCCAACCCATTTACCAGCAGTAATCATAATTAGCATTCATAGTTCTTCTGTGTAATGAAATAAGATATTGCATCTGTGTCTGTATGTGCACCTTCTCCTCAGGGCCTAAACTGGGTGTGTGTTCCTGATCTCCCCTTATGCTGAAGAGCTCTATTGGCATGTTTTGATTTATTTATATGTGTGCACTTTCTTCCCAGGATCTAAGCAAAATAGATGCATATGTGTTGCTTCTGTATATATTTTTCTGCTCTCCCCTTGTGTTGGGTTTGTGTCCATGCAAAGCACATGGCAGGGTTAGAATAAATTCCACATTATTAATACATTTAAAAAGCATTCCATATTTTAGAAAATTAATTTCAAAGAGCATCAGTAATAATGATTAATTGGAAATTGCTCTAGCAGAAATTCCTGTCTCCATAACTCTGAACACTTGAAGCTTTAAGAGAGCTAAATATTTATCAATTTTGAGCTCCAATTCTTACACCTCACCATTAGTTATTCCATTTGCATAATGGACCCTGTCCTGAATGTCTCCAGGTGGTTCATAATAATACTAGTACAGTTATCAGGTCATTGAAGGAAAATACACCATACCTGTTGTAGTAATTCCTGGGAGAGTTTGCGCAGCTAAAAAGAGTTCATCAATGGGATCTACTAGATACTTAATGTTAACTTTTCTTGCATTATAGTAATTGCCATCAGCAGCCATCCCAGCACGCTCTATTGCTATCAAATGATTAAATCTAAAGAAATAAATAATGAAAAAAACTTAAGATTCAGTTCTAATGCTAATGATAGTTTGCTTTACCCAGCATTACTCATGAAGGTTTCTCAATAAAATCTGAATATATTCAAAAGCCCATATATTCCATTTACTATCAGGAATCATGAAGAAAGTTCTCCATTTGATAATTGCTCAATTTCCCCAACTCTGCTTCCTTGAGTTCCTGCTCCTTCTCTCTGCCTTACCATCCAATGTAACTCCAGTTCCCCAATCTATCACCCTAGTCTTTGTAATAATATACATTTCCTTTGGCTAACTCTAACCTTTCCCTGTCTGGTGCCCCCCAGCTGACATGGATTATAACACCATTCATCCCCTACTATAGCTGGGAATTAACCAGGCTGGGGAAAGCTGGTTTATAACCTGAATAGAATTTTTCCCTGCAAATAGGCCATTTTTTCCCTTATCTTTCTCCCCACCTCTGCCCACATGTCCTTTATGCTATCCCCTTAGCATTCTCTTTTACGCCATCCATTTATTTCTTCCTGCTTCAAGAGAGTGCCTGGATGAAGTACTTCCCTTGACTCTTATCTTTCCCGGAAAAAGCTGCAGGTTGGGCAGACTCCCAGAGAAAAGCCGTTCTAAAGCAGCCCTGGTTGCTATAAAGTCAGCCAGATGGTATCTTTAGGAAAGGCTAGCATCTGTGATGTTATATGGACCTCAGGAGCTGAGCCCTGTTCCCGTGTCCTAGACTAAAGACTCTCTGAGATATGCTCAAGTATGGCACTACTTTGCTTCTGGGGTTGTATACCTTGGCTTTTCTGGATTCCCATCTTCACATAAGAATTGCAGAGCTGAATCTGCAGAATTGCTTTGGTAGCTGATCACAGGGATTGGCGTTTCCAGTATTTCTATAGTGTAGAGAAAGAAAAAAGTAGCTTGGATCATGACATTAATCATGTCATTGCTAGACCTGTGCAGAAGGGTCTTCCAGATACACAGAGGCTGCTGTGCCTTCAAGCAGCTGTGCTTCCTTCCCTCCTACAGTCGGTGGATCCAGAGGGACATGTTGCTAATGAGCAAAGTGCCTCACCGGATGATCTGCACGTGCCTGATCTGTTTCACAATGATTTGTTTTATCTTCTCAATGTTAAATGCGATCAGTTGTGTGGTTGAAATTTTCAGGATAACCTCTTTTGTAAAATATGAGGATGAATGTAAAAAAAAGATATGACTGACACAGACCTAAACATGTGGAAGTTCTACTGATTTCAACAGAAGAGAACTAAAATATTTTTAACAAATCTTTCTTAAAACCAAATTATTTCTGGTTTTTAACCTTGGCTAGATTATTCCCAGCTCAGTTGCACAGAATAATTAAATCTCACAAGATACTGGGTGAAATACTTAACTGCAATATAAGATATTCCTCCCATTTTAAAAGGAAAATATTTTGGGGGAAAATCCTCTTGTCTTCCTTTCAGGTAAATAGAATACTCACTACAAGCAAGTGTAATTACAGTATCCTAAAGCCATCCTTACTGGTTCCTCCCTTCTCAAAAAACAAACAAAAAAGCAAAACAAAACCCCAACAATCCTGTAGAAAAAGCTGGTGACAGAGAAAGGCCGTTCCAACAGGGGCGCCTGCAAGGGAGAGGAGAGGCTGAGGACAAGACAAAGATGGCAAGCACCACCATGCATCAAAGCTGTGCCCCTTTGTGTGTGCATGCAACATTGACACATGTACAATGGCCAGGGCTTCGACTGCACCTGCCATCTTGGCTTTTACACCCCCCACCCTTGTGGACACCCCTGCACTCCAAAAGAATAGGCCATATAAACCTCAGCTATAAGGCCCATATTTGTTGCTTATGGGACTCAAGAGTTTTCCATATAATTAGCTCTATTGTGCCTGGGATCCATGGGAGATGTAGATTCTAAAGCTTCCTTCCCCAGATAAATGCTTTTGATCGGTAAGTACTGGAACTTAGAATTCCTATGCATATTTCTGATAGAATAGAAATTTGATGAATAAATACATAAATCTGTGGGAATGGATAATCTGTCATCCATATGTCTCAAACTTTTAAATGTTAAAAGTGAAGCTGTACCCATTCTCTTACCCCTAGCCAACTCATTTCTTTTGTTTCCCTTTCTTTTTTCAGACAGTGTAAAACTGGTTAGTACCATGTTTGTTATGAGCTGAGCTCCAGTGGAATTTGACTTGGCTCAGAGCAGTCTTGGGAATTCTGAACTGGTACAGCTTACTTCAGATTTCCCTGATTCTAATATTTATCACATCTTGATCTGTGCACGGAACAAGCCAAATCCTGAACCATAATTTAATATATATTTGAAATGATCCAATCACACATAATACAAAAAAGTACCAGCTCTCAGCAGAGGCTGTTTGGAAGGAGAAAACATAAAAGACTTAGACTAGATTTGCACGTTGTTCTACACCATAGTTTGTTTAACTAACAAAGTGGCTGGGATTCTCAAAAAGAAAAAAAAAAAGCACCCCCCCAGCTATAAGCCAAAGTTTACAAACCACAAGAGCTAGACTCACTGCCCCATGTTATAGCTTAGAGTGATAAATGAAGCCAACCACAGTAGGCAGATTTACCTAGGTATCTGCCATGATGCTGGTAAGAGTTTTAAATTATGTTTTACAAAACACTATTATAAGAATGTAATTTCTCACAACACACTAGCAGTATTGTCATAATACACCCACTTTGAGAATTACTGTTCTAGATTTTAAAACAGGAGCATAAAAAACAAGTCAGCACTAATAAATGAAAATGGACAATTTTAAGAAACCAAAATACCTTTCAAAATAATCAGATTATAATGGGCCATATCATACCTTGCTCAACAGCTTCCTTGATAATCTTTTTATTTAAATCGAGAGCTCTTTGATCAGTTACTATAACTACATTTTTTCCCATGGCTTTCAAGATGGCTGCCATTGCAATGGCTCCAGGTGGCCCATCATTTTCTTCAGGAGGCTCATAATTGAAATGGGTGGGAAATCCTGTAGTGATCAACACTGACTTTGCATGGGAAAGCGACAGGCATGCCTTCAGAAGTTCATCCTGACAACACAGATCTTTAATACCTCTGTTGCCTAAACATGGATAATACAAATATTTTAGACTAAGATCATCTCTGAGCATAGTGCTTTGCCATTAACATGCTTATTTGCCATTAACATGCATTTATTTATTTAAAAACCCATGCTTTTAAAATAAAACTAATTTGTTCTGATTGCTGATAGATAAAAAGTCTTAAGCTAATAGATGCAATGGCTCACAGTATCAGGCAGTGAGATGGGAAGAAGATCTCAGAGCTGCTATGCCAATTTTTCTTCTTGCCCAAACATGCAAAGAGCTTGGTAACTATTATTCTTAGAAAAGGTATTTGCTTTGACCTCCCTCTGATTTTTTACCTATTTCAATACAACTCTGGATGCATTGCTCATTCATATTCTATAGAAACTCTGGGCAAAGTAGGATGGTTGAGCTATAAGTTAAGCATCAATTAAATGTTGACCTAAATTATAGAGATCACTTTTTCTAATAAACATTTTAGACTCGTAACATGATTGTGTTTTTCTCTTTTTCTTACCTGGATCTATTCCTATTATATCTTCTAAACATCTTATTTTCTTTACAGCTGCTGTTGAAGCAATGCTATAATGCAAAGGATCCTGACAAATACAGTGGACTTCAGGGAGTTCTTTATCATTACCAGCTGTATCTTCAACTTTCAAATCAGTGATAAACATGCAACCAGGTGAATGGGTAAAAGCCAGTGGAGATTCTGGGGAAAAAAAGAGAATCTCAGTAAGCAGTATATAGCAGGAAAGGAGACCTTTCTATTATCTGGGAGGAGTTTGAGCATGTGAGTCTTGAGGAAGTGGACAGAGTTCTCAGAGCTGTTAGCACAATTACCTGAAGGTTAGATCAATATTCCTTCTGGCTTGTCAAGACTGCCTGGGAGAAAGTAGTGGTGCATTTATCCTTGAGTGAAAGGTGGTTTTTAATTTTTATTTATTTATATAATTTCTATAGCTACCCATCTCAATCCAAGTGATTCTGGGCGATGAACAATTTCAATAATTAAAACCATTAAAACAATTACAAATTATACTTATAGGCTGCTGACAGTTATCATAAAAATTACATAAAAGTCAACAGTGCAACCAAGTAATGCGGTCCTTAACACTTTTGGGATCCCAGACTTGGACATATACCCTGGTTTTTAAAGCCTGATGCAAGGCTAGCAGGGTCGGGGCCATTCTGAGTTCCAAAGGAAGAATTCCTCTTGCTTTGAAAAGACAGTGGTGTACCTTCTCCTCAAGAAACTATAGCTGGACCCAAAAATATTGAACAACATTTATCTAGTTTTCAACCTCAGCTTTGGGGGAAAGGATGTAGAAAAGGTAGTGTGCAAGAAGAGATAGTCATGAATGAAAATATGATAAATGAACGTCAACAGAATATAAAAGTGAGTGACCAGAAAAGGAATAAATATATGAACATCTTAGTATTGGATACTCTGTAGCTGATAGAGTCTTTTCCAACTATTACATTTTATTAAAAGGTGTAAGTTTTCATGAGCTGCTGTTCATTTCATCAGATACATAGCGTGGCTAGGCTGAGGTAGATGTAAAGTGGGATGAGGTGGGGGAGAAAGGTGGGAGGAAAAGGTAGGTGAAAATAGGTTGGTTATGCAGATGCAAGTTACATGTGAGACAAATTACAAATGCCTTATCAATTAACAATTACAGTGTGTTAAAAATCCTTTGTTTTTGTCGAGACCTTCTGAGATTGCCTGAAACCTTTTGATGTATGTGAGCGGCAATTTCTCACTGGATGGTGCTATTAAAGTCCCACTTTTCCAAGATAGTCATTCTGAGGTCTGTTATGGCATGTCCTTGGAGGCTGAAACGCTCTGATATTACAGTGTCCTTGTTTTGAGTCCTTATGTCAAACTTGTGCCCATTAATTCTCTTGTACAAAGTTTGTCCTGTTTGTCGTATGTATAATTCAGAGGGACATTGCTGGCAGATGATGGCATGCATCACATTGGAGGAAGGGCACGTGAACAAGCCTGTAATCCTACATCAACCTAGCCACTCTATGCATCTGATGAAGTGAGCTGCAGCTCATGAAAGCTTATGCTTTCTAATAAACTTTGTTAGTCAGAAAAATTGCTACCAGACTCCTGATTGTTTAGTTTCAATCTCCAGAACCGGCTGAAATGCATCCTAGGAATTACGAAGGAACTAGCTAACCATCTGGCTAAACCTTTATTTGCAAACTACACAACAATCAGTCTGGCATAAATACCTAGGAAGATTCTGGAGCAGATCATAAGAGACTGATCTGTAAGAACCTTGAAAACAAAGAGGTAATTATCAGATGTCAGCTTGAAATTGTCAAGAACATACCTTGCTACACTATTTGCAGCTAATTTTTTATTATGTGACTTTCTCAGTAGAATATAAGGATACTATAAACGTAATGTACATCTTCAGCAAAGCATTTGACAAAACTACACCATGACAAGGTGATTAGCAACTTTGTGTGGACTGGTTGACATGACAATTAAGTAGAAGTACAGCTAGCTCAGTATCATATTCAAAGAGTGCTCATCAATGGATCCTTATCACATTGGAGAGATATCAAGTCCTGGCTCCTCTACTCTTCACTATTTCATTAATGATTTGGATGATGAATTATAAGGAATGCTCATCAAATTTGCAGATGATAAACAACTGGGTGGGATAGCTTATTTCCTAAAAGATAAATATAGTAATAGTATTTAGTCAAAATCTCAAACAAATGATCATAATTATTATTAAGAAATTTTAGACTGCATCAATAGAATTATAATTTCCAAATTGTAGGAAGTAATCATTCTACTCTGTTCTGCTTTGGTAAAAGTTCCAAAAAAGGGTATCATAACCAAGAAGGTCTCGGGTAAACACCTGCCTTATCCCCAATAGTGGGGGTGGGGGAGTACACAGAAAAAGAAATACAATTCTTAAATGCTTAGCATGTAATAAGAATCTTAATCATAAGATTATTTTACAGCACTATCCTGTGCAAGATTAGGGGAAAACTATAGCTTTGTTGAAAGAGTTTCTCAAGGTTAGGTCCAAGGCAAGAAAACAGTAGATGGATGATCAAAACAGAACAGATTTGTTGGTTTTATACAGTTATATTTAAAAATCTGGACACATGAGAAAGCAAAAGTAGAAGACCTTGATGCTTGGAAAAAACAAAAGCAATTGTAAAAGAGGCCAACAGAAGACAAGGTGGCTGATATTATCATTGATATGAGCATGAGCTTATAAGAATCTGAAGAAGCAATTATGCAAATACATTATGTCCATTGAGTCATGAAGAATCAGAAATGACTGAACAACAACTTTTAAATATTATTGGTTTTCTATAATGAAGCAGCAGTTCCAGTAATCCCACTAAATACATACTACAATTGATGACAGCTTCTATCCCTGTTACTCCACAGGCCCAAAAGACTGGTACATCTCCAGGGTGAGCTTGTACTGCATCACCATATTCTGGACTGGAAAGATCTTTAATTCCTAACAAACCTAAAATTGAAAAAAACGATAAAACTATATTAATACTGAAGCAGAAATACAGAAAATCCAATTATGCTGGGGGTTAATGTTGTAAAACAGCAACGAATAGAAGCACTGTCTAGATACCTACTCAGGAAAAAGCTCTACTGAGTTTTCATCCTTCTCACTTACTCCCTAAACCTTCGGTCAGAAACTCCATCTGACCACTCCCCAGTAGAGCATGGGAAGTGGAATAGAGAGTAATGGATGGTGGGATACTGTTGCATGGAATACTGGCATCCCTGGCACCACAACATACGTCTTTCCACTCATACTATGTCACACTGCATCCAGAACATGGCAACTTAACAGCTGTTCATTTTATTATAAAGTTAACATAAAATAAAAGTTAATGGTTCATTTACTCCTGTACTTGTGAAAAGGAATTAATGGATCAGTATAACAAATGTGACATGTGATACATTTTTGGCATGACTTTTTATTCTGTTGGAAAAAATATGTGAAACTGAACCTCAGGGCAGACAGAGACTGCACTGAAAAGCCTGTGGCACTTATAATAAACAAACAAACAAATAAAAAAAAAATTATATGCCGCCCAACTCCCAGCGACTCTGGGCAGTTTACAACTGTTGAAAACATTAGTGTGCCTGGTAGAGGCTTCTTACCCAGCACATGCTAGAATTACAAGCAGGATTCATGGCTGAATTCTTTTAAATCCTATTCTTTGTGTATAAAGTCATTACAAAGCTAGACAAAGTACACTGGTAGGCCAGACAAGCCCAAGGCCTCTTACCTTTCTCTCTCACATATACTTTGTATTTTTTTTTTTATCCGCACTCAATCGTTACCAATTCTGCAGCGACTGCCTGGACGAGTCTCTGCAGTTTTCAAGGCAAGGTGTTTCGGAAGTGGTTTGCCATGGCCTCCTTCCTAGAGCAGAGCCCAGCTGGCAAAAAATTGCTTCACGCCTTTTTTGGGCGTGCACGGCTTCCGCGTTACCGGCAACTGGTCCCGTCTCCTTTGCAAGGCGCTGCCAGCATTTTTCCTCCCACCGGGATGAGAGTCCCCATTTATCTACTCACGTAAGTTTTCGAGCTGCTGAGTTGGCAGGAGCTGGGGAGGAAGCAGGAGCTCGCTCTGCTGTGCAGAGCTGGGCTCGAACCGCTGAAGTGTCGACCATTTCTGGCCGGCAACTTTCAGCGTCATTAAGCCACTGCGCCACCGCGTCCCCACTTTGTATTATAGATCTTAAAAATACAGAAAAAAATACACTGACCAGAAGAACCAATGTGAACTGGTGCTCCATGTGATTTCTTCATTGGATGGGTTATTTGCACACACTCCTTCAGTTTGTCTTTAGGAATATGTCTCATAGTTACTATTAGATTACAGTGAAAATATTCAGTACCACAGCAAGGAAGAGCAGTCTGGTAAAGTTTTCAAAAATGATCCAAGTATTAAGGACAATGAAGACTTTTCTTTTAAAAATATTACACATACTTGAAAGTTTAAAAATAAAGTTAATACAGTCAGTGGAAATAGTAATCAAGTTCTCATAATTATTACTAAGATACACACTAGGTAAGCAGTGTATAGCGCACAGGATGCAGCCAGTGGATTTATAGCTCACTCTAGCCAGTGTTTCTCAATGTTGGCAACTTTAAGATCTGTGGACTTCAACTCCCAGAATTCCCCAGCCAGCATGTGGACTTCTTGGAGTTGAAGTCCACAGATCTTAGAGTTGCCAACATTGAGAAACACTGCTCTAGGCTATCTTAACCCCGCATATTCCTATGAATAGTTAGATATTCAAAACTTGTATTTCTTAGTCCTAATTCAGTTAAGAAGTTCTGTGTAACTGGTTTCATGGTTTTAAAAGGATTCACTTAAGGCTAAAATAGATGCATCAGCAGCAACTGTATGTATTTAAGTTCAGCATTTGTCCACTTAATATACAATGTGGGTAAAGGGTGAGAATCATCCTTCCTCCCTACAACCACAACTAGCCTCACGCTTTCTAATGTCTCCATAGGTTTTTCTTCCAGGTTGAGGGCATCATAGTGGAAGTGACTGAGATAAAAACAACTGGGTGATAGGAGGCTACAAGATTAACCACTGGCATGTTCAGCTGCTTATCATCCACTACCACCTTTATGATTTGTACAGCATGATATTTAAGCTCATGTAATTGCTATTTCTATTTAGTTACATGATTACAGGAACTAACATTTAAACATTAGATAAATTAGTAATGTTCTATTAGATTTGTTGTGTTTCCTAATAATATTCAGGTATTATAGTTTTAATACCTTTAATTGCCGCTAAGTAAGAATAGTTAGATATTAATTGAGGTTCAGCATGAATTATAAAATCTTCACCCCACAATAATGGGAAGTGAGAATACAAATTTTATTAGTAAAATATTCCCTGTAATTAAACTAGTCTCAATATGAAAACAAGCACAGTTAACCACATGCCGATCAGCTTATTCTTTTTGAAGGGTTGCATTAGGAAGGTACAAGCCTCTATCTAATTACTTGTCAATCTAATAAAAGGGGAAGCTGGGTAGATTGAATGCTTTATTTCTCCTGCTGCAATTAACAGCTGACCAGCAATCTGAGAAATACTCCTGGGAGAAGTAAACCACTTAGAATGGGTTATCCCTAACAGTGAAAACTACCAGATTGTGGCTACAAAAATCGAAATGACCACAAGATGGTAGCAAAGAGTTAGAGTTTTCTGTATCTATTTGCTGCCCTCTAGTGGTTGTCAGCTAGCTCTGATGAACAGCTAATGAAACTGTCTTCATTCATCAAATGCTTATCGTTCCAAAGCAAAACTGAATTTTCCAAAATAATGTTTTAGTGGCCTTGTGTATTTGGAAGACTACCTAATCAATAAAAATAATTTCAATACTCCATAGGCTCCATCTGCTTCCAGGACTTTAGAATGTATAGAGAGAAAACACTATTATTTATTTCACTGTTTGAAGTGAATAGTTGGCTCATGTTAATGGGTGTCATATTACAACTATGTTAAAATGGCATCTCTATTTTTTTGACAAGCAGTGATCACTTCAACCCAGGAGAAAGAAAAAAGGAATCTAAGGTATACAAATCAAGTGATTCTGTATTTGAGAGCGGCTGAGTAATACAATATTGAAGTTATCAGTTTAAAAAAGAAAATTAAAAATGGAAAGAATCGCCTGCTGTGTTCACTAAACACTAGAAAAGAGCATTAGAATGTTGTTTGTATATATATGCAACCTAAGGATGTGTACCAGCATTCTTTCTGAGCTAATATGAATTATTACTGCTATTGCTTTTGCCACTATTTATATTACGCTGTTCAGGAAACAGTCTCAGCAGGGGGCATTACGTGGCTGAGGTTCTTTGAGTCTGCAAGCTAAGGAGGCGGGGGTTAAGCCAGATTAATACTTGGATGGGAGATCTCCAGGAAATACTGATGCTGTAGATCAGTCCAGGAGTTACAAAGGAATTCCAAAAAAGTCAGTGGCCAACCACAACTATGAAGTCACCTGAAGCTTGACTTGAAGGAGAATTTTTTTTTTTTCTGGAAACAAATTTTTCCCAGGAAGTTTAAAACTTATTGTAAGAATAAAAATACCAATAAAATCATAATAAAACATATACTGTAAATAAAATCACACTAAACAATGTAAGGAGTTTTGAAAGTCATCAGGGCAGCTTTTGACCCTATACTGGATGTAGAAATCAAAATGGAACAAGAGCAGGTGCCTGGTATTATTCTTGGCTGTCTGTCGGCTCATTAGGAATCCTTCCCATGGGGTAGTTGATATTAAATGGCATTGTGGTGGCGTACAGTAAAGGTAAACACTGAGGTCATATTTGCATGCTTCCTTCTCTATATCTCTTTTTACTATTCACATGCAGCAGTTGCTAGGCTGGTAGAACTTTTAGCATAGCTTCAGTAAGATAGGAAAGGGGCAAATGGTGTTTCTATAAGCTACAAACAGCAGTAGCAGCTGGATTCTTGGACGGGACAACTTCTCCTACACAAAGGGCATGCACTGCAATATTTTTATTGCAGATTTCCATTTCTATAATGTCTATTTGTGACTAGTATGCAGCACACTTCAGTGCCATTTTTAATTTGTTAATATTTACTTGTTTATTCATTGTACTCCTTGATAACTAATAACTTCACCTCCTTGGAATGGAAGCTACTGAAAGCACTATGTCATTTTTGTTTCTATTCTTACCTTGTACATGCTTACATTACATTTCTGTTCCACATTTCTTATGGGAATGCCAGCCTTCTGGAGTGCCTTTTCAAATGTAAAACTACATCCTAGATAAAAGGTCACCATGTCTTTAAGCTGTTCAGAATATTCTTTCAAACTTGTCAGAATTCCTATGGATATTCCATGCTCATATTTCCTGTATTGCAAGCAATCACTTCTGCAAAATGAATTAACATCATCATTGGACTGGCCACCTGAGCTCTGGCTCTAACAGTATATCTTACTTCAGAGTAAAGGTCACTGAACTCAATGGGACCTATTTTTGAGTAGAACAGATGTGTTGTCATGTCATCCTGCATCATAATTTATGGATCAGTTCTTATGTTTAAAAGGAATTTGGTGTGCAGATGGTGAGAAACAGAATCCCACTGTCTACACAAAAAACTGCATTTGTATTTTGTACTTTCCTGAGTCAAGAGAAAACATTACAACTTAGTTTCGTATACTTTAAATCCCTCTCTCCTTCACTCCACACATTTATGAAAACTGTGCAAGCCTAAACTAGTTTACAAAAATTAAAAAGTCTGAAATGAAATAGAAAGCACTGATATTTCTGTAGTAAAGTAAACTGAACACACAGAAATGGTAAATGGTGCTAAAATATTTCTTGATAAGTTCCAACAGAGTTAGACAATGTAAAACTATACATACCTTATATCAGAACTGTTGCTTAAGAAAGGACATTTCCATTCTCCTGGCTTACTTCTGTATAGTAAGGGAAGTGGCCCATCATTTGCTTGACAAAAATTTTCAAAATCATCAGCAAAAGATTTGTGCATAATTATAACATTTGCCTGTATAAAGCCTGTAAATGTTAAAAAGCAGAAGTTTAATCTTCTATATATTATTTACTCAAATGAAAATATTTATCATTTTTTGGATGTAATCAGTTATAAAAATGAAAATATATATTTCTGATATACGAATTTCTTTTCTCACATAATCACCTTTTGTACCAAATACCTTCTCCCATGTTGCTTGCTTAGATATTTTCAATTATTCACACATCTCACATTCAGATCCATTGACAAATGTATATATAAATTTGATCTCACTTATGTTTTCAGCAGACTTTTTAAATAACATTTTATTTTACCTGGTCATCAATGCTCTTATATTCTCTGATTTGATAAAATTCAGTTTCACCTCAGCAGTGATACAGATCAAGTGTGGTATATAGATACAAGAACTGTATTTTAGCAGGCTACAAAAATCCTGTTTTGTTTCCACGCAGTGGTTGTCTGTTTTTTGCAACCAAGATTTAGTATCCCTATTTAATCTAACATTTTGAATTTTAAGATATAACTCTAAACTGAGAATAAGCTTTACTTAACAGAATGAAATTTAATTCTGAATAAACATAAATAATATTTCACTGAATGCTACTATAAACACATTAGTGCTGTATGTTTCAACCCCAAGCTCTTCAGGAATCCCAGTGGGGTCCATCAGTCACCTGGGGTGGGCCAATCAAATAGGCCCTACCTCCATGCAGTAGAGGGTTGGCATGGAGAACTCCAAGGCCAAGACGGTATGGTCTGACCATGGCAAGGGAGTGATGTTAACTTCCCCCAAACCCAGAGCACTATGCCACTACACCAAGACAAAAAACAGATTTAGTGTGTAACCTCCATTGTGGTTTGGATCATTAATAATTTGGATCAGGTCCATGGTTACCATGGCAGCCATGAACTCCTGAGTCACCTCTGACCCCATGCCCAATGAAGGCAGGTTGAAGTCCCCTTGGGGAATTTTACTGCCAATTTGGCCACAGAGTCAAGGAGCTCAGGCAGGGACAATGTCATGCTGCAGGAGGAACATGAGCAAGCAGCAGACCCAACTGATCCCTATGGCCCAACTTCCCTAAAGGCTACCAAAGACTCACCGATAACAACAGCCACTCCCCCACCCCTGCCCTGAAGTAAAAGTACATTCTGAAAGAAGCCCGGCCCTAACCTGGGTCCTTCTTTTGTGCTGGCACAGCCAGGGCCTTCTTTCACATACTGGGCTTCTTTGTGAAAGAAGGCCCTGGGTAAGGCATGAATGGAGGCCCCGGGTAGGGCCCGGAGGCCCTGGGTGGGGTGCAAATGGAGGCCCTGGGTGGGGCACGAGAGAAGCCCTGGCTGCACCAACGTGAAAGGCAGCGTGAAAGAAGGCCCCAGCCAGTATAGTAGTGGTGTGCAGTGCGGTAGCAGCCAGGGTTCGGCAGCAGGGGCAGCTGGCAGCAGGGGGTAGGCGGGCAGCCAAAAGGTCAGAGATAGGGGGTAGATAGGTGGGGGGAGTTGAAGAGGAGGCAGAGGAGGCACTCCCTTACTTTACTGAGGCTTGGGGCTGGGAGTGACCAAGCCAGGAATGGCTTGGATTGCGGTGGGTCCTTGCCTAACTACTGGTGGGATTCGGTGACGGCAAAGGCAATTGTTGGGATTGCCATTGCTAAGTGATGCAGTCATGTGATGTCACGCTTTACGACTGCATTGCTTAGTGATGGAAATTCTAGTCCCAATTAAAATCATTAACCGAGCACTCAGAAGTAGATCTTGGTTTCGATTTTAAAGTAGGCCAGGTAACATCTTGCCAAAGATTCTTATAAAATTCACAATATAATAAAATATTATCCACTGTTTCAAGATCGATACCATTACAGGGACAAAATCTTTGAGAGATGCTACCATCATTGGAAGGATCGATAATGAAGCTCAAGCTCAGATACTCTGGTCACCTAATGCGAAGAG